TTAAATGCTGTTAGTCATTACTTTAAAATTGCAGAATTTGTAGTTATTTCAATAATGGGCGACTTTAGTTTTCCCTTCATCACTTGGGAGACAAAGAAAATTAAACTAGGGGCAAATGCTACCAGAGATGAGAAAGAACAAGCACAGTAATTTCTAGATCTAGTGGAGGACTTCTACCTTAATCAAATTATCAACATTCCAAAAAGAAAGAATAACGTCCTTGTTTTTGTTTTTATGGGAGAGGAGGTATATCATCATACTATACAGTTTGGTCGAACCACATCATCATTGAAGATATATAAGATAAGTTAACCCCAAACTGACGGGCATGACATGTACGTCCATGCCATGCCCACTGTGAATTTATTTTATTAATCGTTCTTACATATAGATGGCTCCTCAAGTACTAAGTCACCAATGAGCCACCTACAAGTACTACAAGTTTCACCTGTTTACCCTTTCCCTTGATTTTTGAAAATATTTTGTTATCTTATATTGCAATTACTAATGTCACTAACATTATAGTAATTATCATAACCATAATAAAAATAACACTTAATATTCATAGCATTATTCATAATAATAATAATGATAATAAAAAATTCCCACCCATTCAAGGAAAGGTGAAATCAGGTAAGGTCACGAGGGCTACTTAATGATTCCCTTGTGGCTAAGCATTGGCAGAGCCATCAATGTGCAGAGACATTTCACAAGAAAATTCTGAAATGGGCACAGTGACATTAAGTTAAGAAAACAAAGTAGTAGAGACAGGTAAAATCCTTAACCCCTTGCTGCCGGGTGACGCCGATCGGCGTGTAAACAAAGCGCTCGAAAGCTGGCGTGCAGCCAAACGAGCCGGCGGCGTGCCAAAGCGCGGCGAGCCAGTGATTCGGGCTGATGTCCCCTACTCACGCGCTCAAAGTCGGCACGCCGCCTTTGTTTGCTTAAGCGCAGAGTTTTTTTTTGTTTTGTACACCCGGCGCCATTGGGTTAAATCACTTAATTTCAATCACAGACTGGGAATGGGAAATAAATCATTAGATGAAGCATTAACAGGTATTGAAACATAACAATCTCCAGATAATATGCTGAAGAAATTCTATGATTCCCACAGAAATATTTGTAAGAATGGATGCCTCCCCAAAAGATTAGATACAAAAATCTTATCCCAAGAGATCAAAAAGTTCTGTTGAAAAAATAATAATAATAAAGTGAGAAAACTAAATATGACAAGTGATCTTGACATAAAAGAAAGGATTAAGCCAGAGATAAAGGAATTAGATGAGTTAAATGAGTCTATACATAATCAGAAAGAATGAAGTAAAAAGAGCAGTTGAAGCTTTAAAAGATAATGCAAAGTATTTCTACTCTCATGCCAATAACAAATTAAAGAAAAAGTGGATATTGGACCACTTGAAAATGAGGGTGCCTTTATAGCTGGCTCAAAGGAAATGGCTAAACTCCTCAAAGTGTTTCTTAAACAGAGGCAATAATTACAGACCATGATCAACTTAGAGTTAATAATAATGAAACACAAAGCCTTCCTTGTATAACTTTCAATGAAAGAGTCATTATTGAGGAAATAAAAGACACTACAACAAATACAGTAGCTGGGCCTGATGAAATTCATGCAATCTTTAAAAAAATGTAAAGAAACTATAGTAAAGCCCCTAGTAACACTGTTGAGGAAATCCTTAGATGGGAATCATCCCAAGCTCAATGAAGGAGGGAACCATAATTCCTACCTACAAAGATGGAGACAAATGTCAAGCTAAAAATCACAAAACTATGACACATCTCCCCTCTTAAGAATATTTGAAATGTTAATAAGTACCTAGAACAAGAAAACAGGATAAACCATGGACAGCATGATTTTACAAAGGGCAGATCTCGTCTGTCTCAAATGCTAACATGTACTAAGAAATCTAGTTAAGTTGGTGTTATATATGTATATATTGCAAAAGCTTTTAGTAAAGTCAACCAAGGAATTCTACTCTGTAAGTTGAAGGATATTGGAATCAGAGGAAAAGTAAGGATGTAGATGCATGATTTGATAACAAAATGCAAGCAAAAAGTAATTATTAACCCCTGCACAATGGGTGACGCCGAAAACAAACCGCTCGAAAAGTGGCTTGCAGCTGTATGCTGCGGATGCGCACCAAAGCACGGTGAGCCGGTGATTCGGCCTGATGTACCAAATTCCGGTGCTCAAAGTCAGCGCGCTGCCATGGTTCGCCAGGGTATAGAGTTTTTTTCCTTCCTTCCTTCCTTCCTTCCTTCCTTCCTTCCTTCCTTCATCCATCACCATTGGGTTAATGAATACCATTCTAATGAATAACTGTTAGAAGTGGAGTACCACAAGGCTGTTATTTCTTATTGTGATTTGGTACATTAATGCAGATATTAAACACTCCAGAGTTGCATCTTTTGCTGGTGATGCTAGGATAAGTACACCTTTAAATTTGGTAGAGGATGAAAACATACTAAGAGAAGACCTGCATGCCATTTATAAATGGGCTACTGAAGACAATATGACCTTCAATGCTAATAAATTTGATATCACATGATATAGTCCAACTGGAGTTCCAAGATAAAGATCATAATTTGTTGAAGGAATGCAGATCAAAGAAAAAGCAATTGTAAAAGATCTAGCTCTGTTCTTGAGTAATGATATCAGTTTCATTTACCACATTGAGCAGGCCGGCAGTAAAGGTAAAGTTAAAGAGTAGGTGGATGATGAGAACGTTTTTGGACAAAAGATCCAGAACATCTACTGCTATTATGAAAAGCACTAGTGATTCCAAGATTGGAATATCAGTGCCAAGTATGGAATCCAAGTCTCGCAAAAGATATGACATTGCTAAAGCAGGTTCAAAAAGTTGTCGCCCTAAAATTAGACAAGATGGCAGGGCAAAAATAACTCAAGATTTTCTCTTTACAAAGACAGAAAGAAAGATACCTCATTATATGTGTATAATTGAAAACATATCACCAAATCCAAGAGAAGTAGAGGAAAGGGAAGGGAAATCAAAGTAAGAAACTCACTCAGGCATGGAAGAAAAATGTGTGGCCAAGGTTCTTTTCTTGATAGGCTAAGACTGTTTGGTGGTCTGCCAGAAAGCATTGGAAACACAGCCAGACTGGGCCTAATGTAGGGGATCACCCCAACCTTGGACTCGGCCCTCACCTCAATTAATTTTGCATGGTCTTTTCTTTTTTCCCCCTTTCCTTTTTCCATCTCTTCTCCATCCCCTTTTGTCCACTTCCTAAGGTGTGAGAGCCATGCTGAAATGATGAAGTCTGGCTTTGTATCAGTCATGATTGGCCTCCAGGAGCCATGGACACGGCATTCCATTTCTTTCAGGCTCACCATGGCCAATAATAAAGATTTTTACCCGTACTAGAGGCATCAAGGCTTGCTCCTTCATCAACTAACTTATCTAAATTTGATTTCATTGGTTTCCTGACCCCTGCTTTTACTTTGATTATGGCTCCAACCACTGATATTAATACCCCCTTCCTCGATTTTTGCTTTCACCTCAGTCTATTCCAAATCATCCACCCAGGTCATTATTCTACCTCCAGAATACACCCCTTTCTCTCTCCCAACCTCCACTCCTTCTCCTATTACAAAGTTTCTTCGTTTTCTGCCGTTACTCCTCCCTTATTACTACTCTTCATCCTTATTGTCTTCCTCGTTCTTTCAACAGTACTACCTTTCTCCATACCACCCCATCTTCCTACTGCTTCCACCTCTGCAAACCTTTTGAGTACCCTTTTTGGCCTAGCCAAGTGGGAGCCATTCTTTGTGATTCCCCTACAGCTCCATATTCTGACAATACCTTTGTCGTCAAAAACAAGTAGGCAAAGTTTCCTTTCACAATCATTCCTGTTTTTCATGCCCTGTCGCAGTTATATATGAGTCTTAACCCCGTTAACGCTGGGTGATGCCGATCGGCGTGAAAAAAACTGCTCGAAAGCTGGCGTGCGGCTGTACGCCGTGGCGGCGCACCAAAGCGTGGCAAGCCAGTGATTCGGGCTGATGTCCACTACTCACGCACTCAAAGTTGGCGCGCCACCTTTGTTTGCTAGAGTGTAGAGTTTTTTTTTTTTGTACATCCGGCGCCATTGGGTTAAGCTCATACACTATCTAATCTGACTGACCTCACTATTCCTGCCCAGCCTCACTCCTCCCTTAATACGTGTACTAAAACTATTTCCATCTCCCTTACTGATTGTTCTGTCTGTGACAAGGACTGTGAAAACCACTTGCTTCTTAACTGTGTTGCAGTAGTAGTCCAGTGCTATACTATTCCTCCCAGAGGCCAACATATGTCCTACACCAATATTGCCCCTCCCTTAACTCCATGCCCATCTAACAACCTTTATCTTCTACTATACCCAATCAGTTCTCCCTCTCTACCCTTTTCACTACCATACTATCCTCTAGTACTGTTTAACCTGTAACTTTACCCTAATCATTAACTCATTCCTAACCCTTTTCATTACTCTACCATAGTACCATATGAACTTTGATGTCATAGTTTTACCAAACCTCACACTATCACTATATTTTGAATATGCCACTAATGAACATAGATGTTGACGCATCAGAAAATTTTCAATAAATGAATATGCCAATATTGCCAAGATTAGCATGTGTAGACATGACCTCCCCCTTAAGTTATGTAGGTGGAGTCTCCTGCCCAGTCTGACTATATTGACCCCTTCCCTGTCAATGTCAGATATTTTGGCTTTTTGGCCACCCAGCCAAACACTGTCACTCCACAGCCTGCTGCCCCAATCTGGTCATGACCGTTCAAATTGCTCTATTCAGTTGTGGTAGCTTCTATAATGTATTTTATAGGAGCTGCCCTGCCTACAAGCTCGAATCTGAATGGGACCCTGAGGAGTGGACTATTTCTCTCCCCAACAAGTCCTAGTCTTGCTATGACCAGTAAGGAAGACTTTGTACCATTTATAGGGGCATCAAGGCTTACCACCTTTATCAAATAGCCCCAGTGATTTCAATTCCGGTTCCCCTATCCCAGACTCCTTTGGCCATGACTCTGAACACTGATACTACTACCGCCTCCTCAATACCTACTATCACATCAGTCCAGTCCAAATCATCTATCCAGGTCAATAATCAATCTGCAGGAAACATTCCTTCTCTCCCAACATCCGCTGCTTCATCTCTTCCACCCCATAACTTTCTTTGTCAACTACCCCATCCTCCCTTATTACTGCTCTTCAACCTTATTATCCACCTCTCCACAATACTACCTCTCTCAACACTACTCCCTCTTCCACACATCCCATTTTCCAGTACCCCCTCCTCTACAAATATCTTGAGTACTTAGTTTAGCCCAGCCAAAGGGGATCAATTTTTTTTAATCTCCCCTACAGCCCCTTACTCTGACAACACTCTCCTCTTCCAGGAAACCTCCGAAAACAAGTAGGCAAAGTTTCCTTCTGCAGCTGCCCAGATCGTTCCCGCCTTGTCACAGTTACATTTGAATCCCAAACTATTATCATTATCAACCCTAACTGTCTTGACAATGACAATTCCATTCCTGCCCAACCTCATCCCTCCCACAATACTTGCACTGGAAATGTCTCCATCTCTAAAAAAACTGCCCTGTCTGCAAGAAGGATTGGTCATATTGTGGAGAAGACTTGCTCGCCTACCTCATGGACTGTGATGGAGAAACAGTACAGTGCTACACCATCCCCCCTAGAGGCTGTTGTAAGTCCCCCACCAATAGTGCCAAAATTACTTTCTGTAGACGTGACCTCCCCTTTAATGTTTACAGAGGCAGAGAGTCCCTCTCTCTTTTTTACCATATCAACCTCTCCCCATCATTGTCAGAATTATTGGCATCTTGGCCATCCCGCCAAACATTGCTGCTCCACCGCCCGATTCCCTGTCTGTGCCCAATCTAGTCATAAGTGATCTGTATAATCTCACACGTGTGCTGATTGTGGTGGCTCCCATATTGTATTTTATAGGGGTTGCCCTACCTATAAGTTTGAATCTGAAGTGGCAAGTGGGAAGAAGACACCCCAATTTCCACTATTCCAGATGCTCCCCAATACCTACCTCGCTGCCTCCTCACCCAACTCGCTGCACAAGACAAGCTTAACTCTCCATCCCATCCTCTACCCCATCCTCTGCATCAACATCCCTCTATCCAATCTCTCTCTTCCTATTCCAACACACCCCATCCTCCCCTTCTAAATGTGCACCATTCCAGATTGTGTTACATAGTTTTCTTTTTCTTTTACTGAGTTGTAGACTACCTTGAGAGATGATTGGAGTCTGTGCAAAGAAAAAAAAAACTATTACCATGGAAAATAGACAAAACTGAAAAAATGCTTATGCGTAAAAAGAGTAAATAACTTTACAAATAGGAGGCATAGAGTCTTACTACCCTGCACACGTGTTCGTGTGCGCCCAGCCTACAAGCAGCCACCTAGCAGAGTGGCTGCTCATGGAAACCTGATGCCTGGATTTTTGGTGATGTGATTGCCATGACTCAACCAGATCCAATGGTTAACAATGAACTAACTTGTGATTTTTTTATTTATTTATTTATTTTTTTCTTAACCTGTCATCAAGGGGTTAAAACTACTTTTGAGGATTATTTCTCTTAGTATTAAAAAGTAGCCATGGCCAAAAAGTTCACCACAGTTCAGCATGCAATGGTCTATCAGACTCTGGAACCTTATTCAAGTCGAGGATTATCATTAATTTGGATAGGCAGAGGCATGATATCTGGGGAACTAGGTGAACCAGAGATGGAGCAATCTTTTCCCAGACCATGATATTTTTTTCATAGACGGCTGTGATTTATCGCACCTCATAAATATTATTATGCAGTTCTAAAACCATTAAAAAATGTCTTGAAGCCAGCACAATAAATGAAAGGAACAGCAGCTTCATCCAGAACAAATAATGGAAATGAAATTGGAGTAAATTGAACTGTTGGATCCAGTTGACATGTTGTTTGGCTCAGGACTGGGTGACAGGAATGTTTTCATGAAATATTGTTGCCGAGTGGAAGGTGTCATGGAAATCTCATTGTGAGTGTTCACAACTCTTGGAAGGGATTAAACTCAATGGGCCTTTAGAAAAGGGCTCTTGCATTATTTCCACCAATAAATAAAGGTGGAATGTACTGTATGTGAGCCATACCAAGAAGGGTGCTAGCTCTAGCAAAGACTATTCCATGCGCAGTAACATATTCCTGCCCAACTTGACTGGTGGTATAGGATGTTCTATACTACCTGGAGAGTTCATATGGAGTCTGCTCAACAAAAACAGTATTACCATGTTACAGCATAACAAATGACAATATAGGCCTGCCTTGGAATATGGCAAAACAACATATGCAGAATAAAAGCTAATAGCATAGCAAAGAGGAGGCAAGGTGTCTTCATAGTGTGCATGAGTGCCAAAAAGACACACACATGGGAGAGTCACTACTCAAGAAGCCT